ACCCCCAGCCAGGACCCCAGCCAGGACCCCAGCCAGGACCCCAGCCCCCAGCCCCCAGCCCCAGCCAGGACCCCAGCCAGGACCCCAGCCAGGACCCCAGCCCCAGCCAGGACCCCCAGCCCCGAAGCTGCTGCTGAGTCTGCTGAGAACTCACTTTTCTTCTCAAAAGCACAAGGAGAAAGACCCTGTCACCCGCGTTCCCAGGAGGCCAAGACCGGAGGATTGCGGGCTGAGGCCAGCCCGGGCAGGAAAGGCCCTGAGGCCCTGATCTCCAGTGAACCACCAGAAAACCAGAAGTGGCGCCGTGGCTCAAGTGGTAGAGCGCCAGCCTCGAGTGAAAGAGCTCAGGGACGGCACCCAGGCCCTGAGTTCAAGACCCAGGACCAACCAAAACAACAACAACCCCCCCTTAGCTTCCAACACACACACACACACACACACACACACACGCACACATTACCTTTAGAACTGTAGTCCTCCCTTCATAGACAAACCAAAAGCCAGAGTTCACAGTGCATTTTAATGGAGATCAGGGATTGAAAATGGAATTGGGAGGATTGAAATACAAAGAAATCCCCGCTAGAGAAAGGGGAAAAAAGCACCAGGAAACAAAACAAAAACAAACTTTGGGGGGGGGGACATTACAGGAACTTTGTCACAGAGTTCCCCCACTAACCCCCACAGATTCTTGGGGTCTCCCCCCAGAGGCTGGGGTTGTACCTGGGGCAGGGAACCCGCACACCCCTCCCACGGCGCAGTCTAGAAATAGGTGTCGTGCTGCTCGGGGGTGCTGAGCTGCAGGTACTCCAGGCCGCTGCCCTTGTAGCTGGCCACGCGCCGGGGCCTCGGCCGCTGCAGCCCCGCCGCCCGCCGCCGCTGCAGGGCGCTCACGATCAGGTCCGAGAACTCGGCCTGCAGGCGCTGCTGGTTCTCCCTGGAGTGGGGGGAAGCGAGGGAAGGGGGGAGGGTCACCCCAGGGGTCCTCCAGAACACCAGTTCACGGGCTCAAGGCCTGGTCCACCCCAGAGGCTGGAAGCCCCAGAGATGGCGGCTTTGGCATGAGCCCTCCTCTCTCTCTCTCTGTCTCTCTGTCTCTCTGTGTGTCTCTCTGTCTCTCTTTCTCTGTGTCTCTGTGTCTGTCTCTCTGTCTCTGTCTCTCATCACATACATAAGCTCTATATGTCATTCTATATTGCTAAGTAGATATAATTATATTATTACGTATTATATACAATTATATGCAATTATATCGTTATATGTAATTACATAGTTATAGCTTATATTAGGTATAATCGACTTTACTTATAATTAGGTGGAATATATACAATTTAGAATAAGGTACAACATCAGGTTATATAGATAATCTATAACATAGATATATTATAGATATATAGACATATAGTATCTATATTATATGATATATGATATATTATATGATATATGATATATGATATATATGATGTATCACATATAACCAAGATATTACATATGATATGCAATTATATAACGTACAGCAATTTTATCATCATATTTTACAGGTATATAGTTATGTATAGGTATACTATATACTATACTCTAGCTATATAGTTATATTTGGCTATAATATATGCTATATTACAGCTATATCGTTATATTTGGATATGATATAAACTATAGTCTAACTATAGTTATATTTGGCTATAACATATACTATGTTATGGCTACACAGTTATATTTGGGTATGATATAAACTATTCTAGCTATACGTGTATATCTGGGCATGATATATACTGTAGTCTAGTTATACTGTTGCATATAGGTATAGTAATATATAGCATATAAGGTGTGTAACACACCAAAGACAGACATATTTAACTGGACAGTTAGAAGCGGTCCTGTCAGAGTGCAGGAGAAAGGCACTCAGGCAAACATGAAGGCACGCTCCATGGAAGGTTCCAGATGGTTCTCCTCGGGCCTCCTTCCCAGGGAAGGGTGTCTGGGTACCGTGTCTGACCACAGCAGCCCAGGCTAGGGGGGCATTTTGTGGGTGGTCGGGTGGAGGCCTCGAGGTCCTCGGTCAGTCCCCAAGTCCGGGGTCCCCTCAGCCTCGCACCCGGGGGCCCAGCGGGGGTCCCCTCAGCCCCACGCCCCGGGGACCCGTCACCCCGCACTCACACGGTGGGAGGGGGCGGCAGGTTGTACTCCTGGTCCTTCATGCCTGTCAGCCAGTAAGTGGTCTCTGTCCCTCGGCCCTGGGGAGACAGACGGGGGTCCCCTGGAGTACCGCACCCCAGAACCCCAGCCCCAGGCTCCCACAGGAACTGCGTCCAAGGGGGAAGGGATTCACCCCCCTGTGATACACACACACACACACACACACACACACGTTTATCTCCAGATGTCTTCCAAAAACCAATGGACCAATCCATCAATCAATCTCTCACCAGATTGGTTTTTGCCAAACTAGTATTGTCCTTTGCCTCCAAATGATCGATTGATCGCTCAAAACCCCTCCCACGTGAAAACCGATCATTTGGTTATGCGGACCAATCAGCGCTTTAGGCTGCTGTTGGTGGTGGTTGGGTTTCATTTTCTTTCACCAGAAAGTTCCGGTTCCAAACTTTTGTGATCAGTCCTCCGACCTCACGCGTGTGAGAGTTATAAACACGAGTGCACACCGATCAGAAAGCCTCAAGTGTGTTCATTGGTTTAGTTCCTCTGGGGGCCAGAAAACGGACAGAGCAGGGCTGGGCAGCTGGCTCAGCGGTAGAGCGCTCGCCTCACAGGCTAGCCCTGGGTTCGATTCCCCAGTATACCTCCCCAGAAAAAGCTGGAAGTGGTGCTGTGGCTCACGTGGTAGAGCACCAACCTTGAGCAAAAAGCTCAGGCCCTGAGTTCAAGCCCCAGGATTGGAAAAAAAAAACTATATATAACTGTATATATGCAATGGCTACACACATATGTATTTATAAAATCATATATACACATGCAATCTGCAAACCACTGATGGCTTGGAGGAAAATACTTCTGTGTAGAAAACGTTTTAGGTTTTCATTTTTCCCTGGAATATGCATTTATGGACGATTCAGACAGTGTGCCGTTAGGACATTTTTACGTTGGGGTTGGATCGCCGCTTGTGCCCAGCACGGGCTTTCCAGCTGGGACCAGTGGCTCACGCCTGTAATCCTAGCTACCAGGAGGCTGCCATCTGCAGTGCTGAGGTTCTGAACGCCTCTAGTTCTAATCAGCCAGCCCCAAAAAACTGGACTGGAGTCTTGATCCAAGTGGTGGAGCACCAGCTGTGAGCAAGAAAGCTGAGCCAGACGAGCATGAGGCCCAGAGTTCAAATTCTGGTACTGGCACAAAAACAGAGAGATACAGCTTCTTGATCTACGCTCACTCTCCCCCCTCCCCACAGGCCTCTCCCCCTGGAACATTTGCACAAGCAGAACATTTGTACAAGTGTTTGGAAACGTAGAGCACTCAGAGGAAGAGACGCGACCACAGGCGGGCCCTGTTGCAGTGCATGGGGGGAAGTTGAGGAAACTCTGAGAGGAAGTGAGGATGAGGGGTGGGGCCCGCTCTGCCTGGCCTCACCCAGAGCTCCGGGGCGGGAGCCGAGCTGGAGGAGGAACCGGCCACCCTTAGAGCCCAGCCCTGAGTTCAAAACACCCCAGGGGGTGCTTCTGGAAGGTTTCTCGTCCTGGTAAGCTGGATGGCCGTGGAGAACTCTGTACTGTCCAGCCAAGTCTGCGGGTGGGGGGGGATCACGCCGGCCCCCAAATCTTCATGTCGCATCACCTTACCTTTAAGTAGGTCTCTCCTCGCTCTTCGTACAGGAACCGGCTCTGCGTTCTCTTCAAGATGGCCACCGTGGAGCCGCTCATGTGAATCCTCAGGGCTGGACGGGGAGGGGGCCGGCCATGAGGGCCACATGGGGTCTGGCTCTGGGGCTCTGATCGCCTCCTCCAACCCCCAAATACCCAACGCCCAGCACACCCGGCCCAATCACAGCCAGGAAACCCTAAAAAGATCCCGCCTGCCATCCCAGCTACCCAGGAAGCTGAGATCTGAGGATCACAGTTCAAAGCCAGCCTGGGCAGGAAAGGCCGTGAGACTCTGATCTCCAAGGAACCACCAGAAAACTGGAAGTGGCGCTGTGGCTCAAGTGGTAGAGCGCCAGCCTTGAGTGAAAGAGCTCAGGGACAGTGCCTAGGCCATGAGTTCAAGCCCAGGACCGACAGACAGACAGACACACACCACAAATCACATCAGCCTCACAACAGTGATCATTAAGCAATCCCAGGGCAGTGGCCGTTCAGCCTTTCCTTCATGGGTGCCTCGTTCCCCAGTGTCCTGCGCCCCACATTAGACCCACAGCCTCCCAGGCCTCCCGCTTCTTACGGAGGCCGGTGGACTCCATCCTCGAGGCTGTGTTGACCGTGTCTCCAAACAGACAGTAGCGGGGCATCTTGATTCCCACAACTCCCGCGGCACAGGGGCCTGGTGAGGAAGAAGGGAGGCTGGAGGTGAAGGCCAGGCAGGGCCCGATTGGAGGCTGGAGGTGGAGGCCACGGAGGGGCGGAGTGGAATCAGGATGGGGTGTGTCTTGGCTGAGGGGTGCCCTGCTCTGGCAGTCTGTGTGTGTGTGTGTGTGTGTGTGTGCAGGTGTGTAGGGATGGACTGGGTTTTGAACTTGGAGCTTGCCCGCTTGAGCCACGCCTCCGGTGTGTTTCAGAGGTAAAGCCAAGCTAACACATGCAGGGAACACAGGGCATGCAGAGCCTGGGGAGCTGAGGTTTCTGGGAGGCCAAAGCAGGAGGACTCAGGCTGGAGTCCACGGAAAAAGGGGTCGCTGGTGAGGGATCACACAGAGGCGTGCACGGGCTTTCACACAAGGAAAAGTAAGTTCTCCCGGCAATGATAGCTGTTCAAACACCAGAGTAAGCTGTGCTGGAGACCATACATTTCCAGGGTCCCCGGGTGTTATTGGCCTTGGGACCAGTATGCTTTGCAGAGGATTGAGAGAGATTGCTAGAGATTATTTTTAATTCCTTTCCAACACTTTTCCTATAATACCTGTAATTAATTTACAGGTATTCTGAATCTTCACCTATGATACCTTAAATCTCTGTGAACGCTGGCTGTTAAATGACCTAAATTTGGCCCCCGGCTTAAGCCCTAACACCTCCCAGGTATGGAAAACACTGGATGCTTAATTTGGAAATAGACATTTTGTAGCAAACATCTGATTCTCAGCCACATAGGACACAGAGGCTCAGCCAATCACAAGCTGCTAATTGATTAAACCACCCAGAGGCTCAGCCAATCAGGCTGCTAATTGATTAAACCACCCAGAGGCTCAACCAATCACAGGCCACTAATTGATTAAACCACCCAGAGGCTCAACCAATCACAGGCCACTAATTGATTAAACCACCCAGAGGCTCA